TTGTGCAAAGACTTATTACACGCAGGTTAAGTATGGTTTTTAAGTGTCAATATGAAAAATGCTGATTTTCAGACAGATCAATGGTCGTGGTAGCTTTTGTAAGAAGAACTTTTACTGGAGATAGTATGAATTGATGAATAGTGTTATGGTATAAACTATGTTCCTGACGCATCTAAACAAAAATATTGCTTAGTGAAGCTTAGGGTGCTCCTTTACAAACCTGTCAATGATGGCAGGGGTACTTTTTCTCCGTGAGAATACTTGATCCGATGGTCCGAATTTTCGATTGTGCAGGCTTGCTTATGTCGGCATGGGACAAGATAATCGGGCAAACTTGAATGCCGAAATTGAGCGCGGTGGATCGGCTGTGTTTTATCTCGGCAATTTACATCATACTTGCACATGGGCACCAAATGCGCAATATGTTTGAGGTGGGGGTGCTCGGATTTGTTTCGACATAGTTCAGAAAAGCGACAAGGATGATAATATTTCTCATTGTGTTCTTTAGATTCTTCAGGTGAATATTGTAAGAGACAATTAACTGAATCGGAACATGGCTTCAGAGATGCGACAGGAAGCACTTTTTTTACGATTCTATCCCAGACTGATTTCTTAGGTGATTGTTTCTCTGCAGAAGATACTTGTGAACTATACGTTGGTTCGGATGGTGCTATCTGAACATGTTTCTTAAATTCTTTATCGAAAGATGGATGATATTCTTTGATAGATTCGTGTTGAATAACAATATTTCGCACAGGTACAATCCCAACACCTGTACTGACGTGGACATATTCAAGTGTGGACAAGTCAAGTTCAGACCGCTGGAATGTATAAGCAATTTTCTGATGACTATAAATATTATTCGAACCAACATGTGTCAGTATAACTTCACCCGTTCGTGGTTTAATCACAAGACAATAAAAGATGAAGTCATCAGTGTTGCAACCACGATGAAACGAAGATGACAAAGCTTTCATACAGCGACAATCGTGCACGATCTTATCATGATGATATGGAAGGCCACATGTGATGTACGAACAGGATTCATGATAGGCAGTAACAGCTTGATTTGTTGGCTTTTCGGCGATGTAGCAAATCAAACAGTCAATATTTGACTGTTTGTCCTTCAGATCAACTGACTTATTAGAGAGAGTCAGCATCATATCACCACCCATTGCTTGCCAGTAAATGTATATAGTATCACTTTGACTTTTATGGAGCTGATGTTGACGATATGATTGAGAAATAGTAATTGGCATACATACATATTGCTCGAATTTGTGAGCTGGTAAGGTGATAAAAGTACCAAAAGGTGAATACGAGTGATTTTGGGTGATTTTTTTCGCGATTCCATCAATTACAAATTTTTCATAAGGTATGCGAGTAGGATCCATAGATTTCTCAATTCCAAGATTAACATTGAATGGTGCAAGAATAAGACGATCACCAAAAATGCTTTTGGCTATTTCTTGAGCAAATAGTGTCATTGATTGGAATAAATTTTTAGGTATGTAGACACAATCGATGTAGTTCAAAGGTATCAGCTGTGGTACATGAGCTTCGAATACAAGATGTGCGTCTATGGACATCCATCGTTTTTGAATATCGCTGAGATTTACATTCAATGTCTTTTTCTCTAACCCAGTCAATGCCACAAGTTCTAGAGCAGCCGCATTATCATAACCTGGTATTGAACAGTGCAATTTCGATCGATGAAAGTCTTCTATACGATCTTGAGGAGTGCCCGGATCCTTTAACCAGGGCCTAAATTTGTATGCATTGGTGCTTTGGCCGTATGTGGTCGCAGCTTGGATTGAAAAATTAGCATCTGGATGATGCATAATCTCACGTTTAAAAATAATAAAAACATCGCCGTAGTAATACCCCAGATTGGGTCCCAATATGCTAAAGACATGTTTATTTGTGCCAAGCTCAATATCAGGCATATGTCCGATTCCCATTGGATTATTATTCAGTTTCAAAGAAGCTCGAGCAATTTCTATGGCACATGATCGAATGATTTGTATTTCGTCTGATTTCAGAAAGCCTGTCAATTGTGCTTCTTTTATTTTGATTTTATTTACGTGCTCATCGTTTACTAAGTAAGCTGCTTTATTGTGATCAGCTCTATAAAATTCGATGGTCACTAGCGCTTCAATGAACTCGTGGGCATGACTTAGAAGTGCTACAGAATTTTGTGGAGCTAATATCGTTCGTATTTTATCATTCTGCTCGACAGCATTAACCACAAATGGTGGATTACGCAATTGATTCATATAATCTCTACTCATAACATTTCCATGAACAAGAATTGATTCAAAAATAGCTTTGTTGCATCGATGAACAGGCGGCAATGCCCGAATCCAATTAGTAATTTCTTCTGGAATGGTATTGTTCCAGTGTTTCCAATTTTCTGATTTAATATAGGTGCGAACTGCTTTTGTGATTTCCTCTTGATTTCGTACAAAATCGATGCGTTTATTGAGACCAGTATAGTGTGCCACACCGAAGTGATCATAATTACCAGTGTGACGATAACGTTTTATGTGTTTATTATTCGATCGATCTCGACATTTGAAACTTGGATAGTTACATAAATAACGAATGTCATGCACGCCGGGATGAGAAAACGAATTTAAATGTTCTTCGTCTGTTATCATTGAACACTGATCTAATTGCGGACAAACTATTCGTGCAATGTGAATCGAAACAGAGGCATGGTGTTTTGTTGTATCAGTACATTCTCGTCCGAACGGACAAACATGTGAGAATTCACTACAATGATCTTCAACGACTTTTCTGAATGTTGCAGCAGGTTTTTCCTTCGCTTGTAAAAACTCGACATGGTATTGACACGAAAATGGCGTCCGGGGACAAGGTGTTTTAAACGGATGTGAATGATTTTTAAAATGATCTTCATCATGATACTGGACACAATTACCACCAAAAGGACATTTGGGGTTACAATGACGAAAGGAACGACAATGTTCAAGATCACTCTTACGAAACAATGCACACTTATTTGGACCACCGTCCTTGCAAAGTGGTAAATGGCAAAAGTTCTTTAAATGGTCTTCACTCATGTCTGTACAACCACTAGCTTGAGGACAATATTCGGGATGGTCATATTGGCGTCGATGCTTTTCGTCTTTGATCTGCTTGCATTGACCACCATATTGACATTTGGTGCGGTGGATAAAAAAGTTTTTATGCACTTCATCGTTTTTCACTTGATCGCATGAATCGGATTGATGACATAATGGTGGATGTGAATAAGAACGACAATGTTGTTCATCGTCCAAGTCATGACATTCAGCTCCATATTGGCATGGATTTAAACTGAAAATGGATACTTCGCTAATAGTCATCTTAACATGATCTTTACTGATAACTCGGAAAGGTCCTGTGGCCATATTGACATTCAGTTGTTTACTTGAAGCTAGCACATTGAGTCCATCTAATATATCCTTGAATGGCTTATAGTTTCCATTGCGATTTAGTCGATTACCCGTGTTGTGATCGTCGATAATGGCAAAGTAGATTGTTTTGAAGTATCCAGCATACTGCTCGATGACCGACTTGAATAGCAAAGCTATATGAATAGGTGGATTCTTGAATGCACCACAGCCAAACGCTGATAGAATGAGACTATCATGCTCATGTTTGTGAGCAATAGCAAAAAAGTTTTCAATTTTCTTTCTTGTACCCGCGGCATTTTTTCCTGTGAGTAGCCTATCATCATTGTGTTTTAGCTCTGGCTGTTGGTAAGCAGCCAAAGCTATAACATTGGCATTGTAAAGAGGTTTCTCAAGATAAGGATAACCCTTATCTTCTATATCACGAAACACAGTGATGCCTGATATATAGATCGCACCAAACTCTTCTATTGGGTATATTTTATCATTTGCTTCTAATAATTTTTCCTTGGCATCATTTGTGCACCAATACCGTTTAGTTCTATGCGTGTCATCGAGTTCTACGTCAAGGCTGAGATAAATGTCCGATCGTCGAAACAGGTTTTCTTCTTGAGCTGCAGCTCCTTGTCGATATCCGCCACCAGGCTTTTCAGCATTGGCCATGTTGAGCAATACTGGACGATATCCCTCTGCTGTGAGTCGTGCATAAACATGTAAACAGTCATCTTCAACGACTTTTACTTCAGTCGAGGAGAATGGAGGGCTAACCGGAGTGTTTGTTTCTCGTTGTAGGATCAACTTCGATTTGTGAGTGTAGATAACTGTATATATTGGTTCAGTGCTCAACTTGATTTCTTTTTTGTTTTTTCCATCTCCTAAAATATAACTCTTCTTGCGAACTACACCAATGCTGTTGAGCATTGCCGTGTTACGCAACAAACGTCTTTTGGTATCACTTTCCCGATTATTTATCCCACTGACACTCGTAAATTGATCGAGCCAAATTTGGGAATTCCATTTATACTTGAAAATCTCATGGTTTGGATTCACTACGAATTGCATAATATCAGGCTTGAGACCCTGCATTTTTGTTTCGTACCAGGTTCGAGCATTGATCTCACTATTTTCTGGATTGTCAACGATCACTGTGTATGGATCAATGCAGATTTGATGATTTTGTACAATAAATCCCTGGTGAGTTAAACATGCATCATACACCGATTTGTCCTGAAGGTGGACAATAGCGTGGTCACCGATCAGCTTGTATTTAGTGACAGCATTCTTAAATATTGCATGTTTCATGATGAGCTCAATAGATATAGAACGAGGAATTGGATTGAGAACAACTCGAAAAGCCAATTCGGTTTTTTTGTTGTAAACTTGGTCTTTATAAACGATATAACTGACATTCGCCCATTTATGATCATTTTTGGCAGCAAGTACGATAGCGCATGATGCTTCTTGATTGTACTGGATATAGAGTGATCCTTTATCCTGTTGATTACCAATCTGTGCCGTAACTACTTTGGAAATATGATCTGTGGTGATATCTTGAGGTAAATCTTCGAAAAAACTGCATTCCGCTCTCAAATAAATTTTGGCAAAGCGTTTGTTGAATACGAATGACCCGCTAGCTTCGGCTGCCAGAAGTTCGTCGATAGAGGAAGAAATAATTTTAAATATATTTGGAAATAGCATGGAAACTTGCTCACATCTAGGCTTTTGACTTGATTTATACCGGGTCTCCCATAGACTTGCGATTTCATTTTCGGATCCGGTAAATTTTTCCGTTGAATCAAAAGCTAAGTATGAAACGAGCTCGAGCTCCTTGACAAATGAAATACGCGGTTTTGCTGGAAGATTAGTGAGGGTCGCTTCTTCTATTTCGAGAAGCTGGTATTTCTCAGCTTCGCTCGGTACCCATGCAATGGCAATGCCGATACGAGAATAACACTTGAATTTGACTACATGAATATTGTAACAGCTCTCGAGACGCTGCTGAATCATTCGTTCTAATTGTGTATCACCTACGTCAGCTGGCAGATCACAAATGTAGATCGAAGCTTCTTTTTTACGTTCGCATGTATTTTTGTGCGCCGTAGATTCTAAGTTGTTTCTGTAGGGTTGTCCAATTTCTATTGCCAGTGACTTCGCAATAGGAGAAGAATCGAATGCTGGCATGGACTTCGAATCATTTTGCTGTTGAACTGATTCAACCATGTGAGCGGGCATCATGGATTGATGTATCCGTTGAGTGCTACATATTGCACAGACTGTAAGATCACTGGTGTTTTTATATGTACAAGATAAGCAGTCCCATGTGGAGGAGATGCTATCGTGCTCTAGATATACTTCTTCAGGTGATTGAGTAACTGGAGTATGAGTTTCTGGCGGTTGCCGTGGATAGAAAATAGGAGAAGCACTGGCAGAATACGGCATCTGTTCTCTTTTGTTACTCCTCGGTACAGGACGAGGATGATAACATACTACGCATTCCAGGGACAGCGGAGAATTTTTTAATGTGCATAATTCACACGACCAATTTTCCAATGAGTCAATTACTGTGTCAACTGCTGACGTTTTATCGCATTTTTTCATTTTTTTTGGCTGAAAAAAATATAAAAAATAATACTTTTCAAGTCCTAACTTGGATAGCAAAAGTATTGCATTCCCGTTAAAATACCAGTTATGTACAATTCAAATTTTTATCCTGAGATTAGACTCTCTTGCTGATAAAGAACGTATCGATCGGCTTCTAATTGGGCTGTAATATGATAATTACACATGTACTTCCAGCTTCTAGAGCGAATTACTTTATATAAATGAGCGAACAGCTATTCTGTTAACCTGATTCAGTTTTACATGAACTTGTTGAATAAGTGTCATTTATAGCTGGTTTTTTTGAAACATGCTAAAATATTCTAAAAAAATCTTACAGATTCGAACAATCACTTTTTGCAAAAAATATTGGTCTTTCGTCTTTGCAACCTATCACGGTACCATTGAAACAAATAATGCAGTTTCAAGTGGGTTTTGGGGTTAAGTTTTGTCGAATTTGAAAAGGATGTGGAAATGGGCATAGACTCATCTGTACTTCACCCACATCCACCTCCACACCCCAACATACCCGATCCTAAAATATGGACACTGAGGTAACATAGGTCAAACATTTCTGTTCGTTTGTGGAGATCTTTATGTAGAATCGAAACTTACGTCATCTTCGAATTGTTGTCCATTTGATGTCGCGGATGGACATCCATATTGATGGATAATATTCAAAGCTCGGCGGCACACTGGACATTGTTTATTATCAGCTCCAATGCTTTTCATTAAACATTTAAAATGAAATTTATGCCGGCACGCCGTCGTTATCAGAGCAGAATCATCATCAATCAATACATCTTGACAAATGCTACACTTTTCTTCTTCCATTTTGCTCATTTTCAGCTCGATAGTTAGTAGTTGATTCTTGTTTTCGATGTTGTCTGCAAGTGTTAAATTACCTTTTCACACACCCTTTGTCCACGGAGATCTGAAAAAGAGTAAAATCTGTCACATATGAGGTTTGTTTTTTTGTGATTTTTTTTTCTTTCCTCTTGGAGGAAATAAAACTTCAATTACGAGTAAAAAGTTGTTCAAACTTTGCCTCTCTCAATATTGAAAACTAGCGAGAAAAAAATACTAAATCAACAAAAATTGGGGTTGCATGAAAGCATTGAAAAAGAATTTCTTAGCAAATACAGTGCTAATAAACACATTCCACGTAAGAATCGTTTTGCTTTCACTATCTCTTGCAAATGTCCAAATAAGTTCGTCTAGTTAAATCAATCAATCTTTGATTCAGATGCTCCTTCTGATATATTGGTGGAAGTTGCGGGTGTGAGTGACAGTCATCCAAGTGGATAAGAATTCTAGAAATCGCGTTCAAATACCTTGATCGCAGTTCTCGTTCGAGTACTTTCACGTTCATTTAGAAAGTACAAAAAACTGCCACTTTCATCGTACAATGTTAATGAAAACACTTTAAGGGGGCCCCCACTTCAAAAAATCCATTTTTTGGTAAAGTAATCGAAGTCGAGTTTTTATCATAGGAAGATGCAGCGAAGTTTCCTCTTTCAGAATATATATGAATTTTTTAAAAAAGGCCAAATTTTTACCGACTTTCGTAGGAGATTTCCACCTCACTACCCGGTTTTCGAAGAGATTTTCGCGGTTTTTGTTATTTTGGGAAAGACTACTTTTTTACTTCTATCAGCATGGAATCAACACTCTTATATCATATAGTACGACCTGTAGTACTAGCTTGCGGCATCTATTGCGTGCTTTCAAAAATGCCACATATTTATTATCAATATACCATTATTTCCTGCATTTGAATGAAAAACTCTATTTCTAAAACTTCTTTAGCGTTTTTCTCAAAACATGGTTTCCAATCAGAAAAATTGGAACTCCCCCCTCATATCTCGAGTTATATCCAATATTTTTTTTGCTGTAAAGGTCTCGACGAGAGTAAACTTTCCATCAACCAGTTTTTTTAAATTTGATTCCTGGGCTGAGAAAAGTGGAATTTACTGTCGTCGGAACACAGTTTTTTATGCTTTTTTAAAGACATGTCTACTAAAATATTCATAAAAAATGAACAACATGGAATTTAAAAATTCTGGTTGATGAAAAGTTGCGTACTGACATTGGCCTTATTTTGAAACCAGCCCGAGCTCTATACCTCGTCTTACGACGAAGTTATGTCGATTCTCCTGAAGGCCAAAAATGACCTATGAATCAGCTGGAAATCCGATCTAATACGATGAATCGAGCTGAAATTTTTACCAGAAGCGTATCTCTTCAGGATCACTCATCCCTGAAAATTTCAGCACAAAAAGACCATTCTAAGTGGAAAATCATTTCTGAGGGGGGCCTTAAAATGCAACGCTTGTATGCGGAGAACGTGCGAT